CTTGACCTCCAGTGCCTGGGTTTCAAGCAGGGAGGGGGTGAAACGACCTCCTCTTCAGAGCTGGGGAGTCACTCTGGAAGCCTTTTCTGGCTCCTTCCCCTTCGGGGGGGGGGGAGGCGCAAAACGGCGGCGGAAAAGCTGCTCTCTCTTTTTTCCATCTTACACCTGGCAAGCCCCCCCCCCGGCCGGTTCAACTTTCTCCCCCTCCCCAATTTCGAAGGCTGGGGTCTCTTAAGTTCCCGCTGCTTTTCTGTCCCCCCCCCCAACCTTGCTGAATTATTCAGGGGCGCATTAACTTCGCCGAGGGGTTGCGGGGGGGGGAAGAGAGGGTTGCGACGGGCTGATTTTTGTGGTCAGCGTACAGATACATAAATCCTAATGAAAGACAACTACAGGATTTTCAATAATTAATCAAGGTGCCACTTAACAAAGCCCGTTTGGGCGCTGAGCACTTGACTCGCTTAATGAGACCAAAAAGGAAGGGGGACTTTCTTGCCCCCCCCCAATGTCCGGCGCATTTCTATCCAGGCGTTTGATTCCTCTTGGATTGGATACAGCGCAGAATTACTCGGACGCATCACCATCTTTCTCCCTGGACCAGGACTGCCCCCCGCTTCGTTTCCGCTTCTCCGCAGAAAGAATCGGGGCCGGAGCGTGGTGGGGTGGGGGGGATCCTGGTCTCCGGTTAGCTCCCCCGCCCGTGAGCGAGCCCCGCGGCCTCCCCTTGGGAAGCCCCCCTCCACCCCGTCTCTGGCCGCGGGAGAAGCGCACCGGGGCCAGGGGTCGCCCCATCTCCGGGACGGGCGGGGGGCTCCGGACAGCCCCCTCGACGGGCTGTTTGGGAAGCCGGCGAGGCGGCACCTTCTCCTTCGCGCCCCCCCCAAGTGGCCGCCGCGCCCTCTGGCCGCTCCGGAGGGACCCGCTCCACTTCCGAGACGGAAGGCGAAGCGAACCGAGGCCGGCTGCGGGGAGAGGAGGGAGAGCGGGATCCGCCTCGCCTCGCCTCGCCTCGCCCCGCAACTCTTTGCCTCCTCCTGATCGTGGCCGCGCTCCCGGCGCTCCCTTCCCAGCCGAACCCCGGCGGCTTCCTCCTCCTCGAAGGAGGGGCCCCTCTGCCTTCCCCCACCCGCTCCCGGGAGAAGCGCTCTTTCGCTCCGGCCCCGTCGAGGAGGCGCTGCGCCAGTCCGCCCATTACCTCACCGTCCCTGGGGGGTCAGGGGGGGCTGGCCCCCGTCCGGGGAGGAAGTCCCGCGGGGACGCACAGGCGGCCGAGCGGGACAGGAGCGAGGCCCCCGCCTTCCCTCCTCCCCAATCCCGGGCCGCCGGGCACTCTTGCGCGCCGCGGAGCCGCCGAGAGGAGCGGA